GAAAAAAAATATATATATATATATATTTCTTACCTTTATAGTTTTTTCTTTGGTGCACGGTTATAGGACAAAATAGGCAGCTTATATTGCTTGGAATTGAAATTAATGTGCGAATAAGGCACAAAGTGAGGTTTTTTTTTTGTGCTCTAACATACAATGTGCCACCCAAGCATTAAAGAAGAAATATCACCACAAGTATAAATGTGATCATCACGTTTGCCCTTATTTAAATCTGAGCAGCACTGTCAAATAGCTGGCCCCTCCTCCCTCCACTTGTGTTTGACCACAATGAACAAAGGAGACAGTTCAGAGATAAGAGAGCATTTTGAAAAGTGCACACAGAGCCTGCACAGCCCCAGCTCCCCTCTGCAAGCTACCAGCTCTCCTTCTGATCCAACAACCTTGTCTTTGCCACCTCTGCTCTCTTACATGTACATAAAACACTAACTTTACTGAGCCCAGACCCTCCTTCTACGTTGTATTTCAGAGCAGTTTATAAAGCTGTTGGCTTCTGTTTTATATGCTGGCTGCTCCTCCTCTCTAGCAATACCCATATTTTAGGCTTCAGCAGTGGGAGGAGCTACAGTCAGTCCTGACAGCAATAAAATGTCATTTTTAGGGCTGGTAATGATTAAAATTTTCCTGTTCGATTAATCAAATTTTGTAAAATCAATTAATCGACTAATTTCGATTAATTATAACGCACATACAGAGGGGGGTCTCACCAGAGCTTTGAGGGGGCCTCACCAGGGTAGCAGGGCTCTGTGGGGATCTAACTAGCCTTGTTAGAACAACAAGAGGGCGCAAAACTAGGTCAGCTGACTCCCTGGACCGAACATATCAGGGAAGGTGACAGGAACAATAAATATATATGTATAATGTACTTACTTATGTGGGTCTGGGAACCAGATGTGAACCGGCCTGTGAGGAGGATCAGGATGTCCAGAATGTATGTTGAATGGCGGCAGCCTCAGGCAATATATCAGCCGCCATTCAACATACATTCTGGACATCCTGATCCTCCTCACAGGCCGGTTCACATCTGGTTCCCAGACCCACATAAGTAAGTACATTATACATATATATTTATTGTTCCTGTCACCTTCCCTGATATGTTCGGTCCAGGCAGTCAGCTGACCTAGTTTTGCGCCCTCTTGTTTCTCTCTTTGGTTTTCACATCCGATGCACTCATGAACCAGGAGACTTCCCCCAACCCCCAAGTAGCAGAACACCAGTGCCTGCGACCCTGGGATATAAGAATGAAGGCATGCTGGGACTTGCAGTTCAACTACAACCAGCATGCCTTCATTGCCCCTGTACACCTCTCCACATCACCCAGGGAACTACATGTCCCAGCATGCCCTTATGGTCTTTGTACACCGTCCCCCACATAAATCACCCAGGGAACTACAAGTTCCAGCATGCAAGCCCCCTGCAGTAGTTCCCTGCGTGATATGTGAGAGTTGTACAGGGACAGTGAGTGCATGCTGGGACTTGTAGTTCCCTGTATGATAGAAGGCTATTTTAATTACTTTCCTCATGAAAATACAATGCCATTATAGTACAGTAACTTTTGAACTCAACTATATTCTATTCAATGTTTCTATAATGACATTGTATTACTAGTACTTTCATGAGGACAGTAATTAAAACAGCCTTCTATCATACAGGGAACTACAAGTCGCAGCTGAACTGCCGACTTGTAGTTTCCTAGTAGTACAATGACATTATAGAACATGGAATAGAATATAGTCAGTTTCAGCCATATTCTATTCCATGTTCTATGTTCTATAGCTTGAGCAGGGTGCTGTAAAAAAACATACCAGCGTGGGGGGACAGCGGCCGGGAACATCGAGGCGGGTCTCTGTATCAGGTGGCTGCTGCTGGGTTCTCGCAGCTGAGGCCCCTGTGCTGCCCCAGTATTCGCCTGGTAGTTCCGCCACTGCAGGTAACGAAGGGAAGGGGGAGGAGTCCGGTGACGTCACGGACATCGACGTCAACGGACTCCTCCCTCCTTCCCTTCGTTACCCATCACGGACAACTACATCACCCGACTCCTCCCCCCTTCCCTTCGTTAGCCGACAGAGCCACTCGGGGAGGGGGGAGGAGTCCGGTGATGTCGATGTCCGTGACGTCACCGGATCTCCGACGGAAGCCGGCGGAGAGGTGAGTACTTTGATCGATCAAAATAATTTTGATC